TCCAAGTTCCACCCAAGAAAGTAAAGGGTGTTTCTGCAGTTCCAGGGATGTAAGCCAGGGCCTCAAGTGCGCATGCGGGGCAAGCACCCTACCCCGGAGGCAGACCGCGCGCGCGCTCGCTCACAGAAAACGGAGTTTTCATAGCTCCTGCTCCTGAGGTGGGTCCACCTCCACCCCACCCCCACCCCCAGGCCAGCGCTCCAGCTGCCTCTCAGTATCCAGCCCAGGGCAGCTCACCAAAGGCTCCTCGGTCAGACTCCAGGCCTACTGCACACCCCAAGCTGTCCCCACGGGCACAGCGACACATCCTCCCCCAAAACACAGCACAGTCCTACACGGAGGGGCGGGGCGGGGCGGGAAGGAAGCGTCCGCCCTCACAGGTCTCCGGGCTGCGGGTTCGTGGGGTAGTTCAGGAACAGATCCAAGGACTGGGGGGTACTGAGGTACTTGTAGCTGTCCCCCACTGCTTCCAGCGCAGCCTCCAAGTCGCTGGCGGGGAAGTTCTGCGGGAAGGGTAGGCAGGGCTGCAGCGCTTCCTCCCCGAAGCCGGGCAGCGGCGCGCTCCAGGCTTGGGGGCACCAGGACTGCGCGTTCCAGGAGGGGCTCCCCCAGGAGGGGCTGCTCCACCCCGCGTTGTTCCAGGTCTGGTTGCCCCACACGGGGAGGTTCCCGGACGTGTTCACCAGGTAGCCCTGGGCGTAGTTGGAGCAGGCGCCCGGGTACTCGGCAGGGGCCGGGCCCTTCTGAAAGAAAAGAGCGAATTAGCAGCGGCGGCATCGCATGGCCCAGGGCCTGGACGTGGGAGCTGCCCTGGAGCCCTCAAAGCGCACCAAGGGGGCAGTGACCTTCACAGGTGACCGTGACCTTCACCCCCCAGGCAGCTCCCCAGAGAAGGGCTCCAGGGAGACTGGGATCCCCACACTGAGCTGAGTGCAAATGCTGGAGGAGAACCCGAGATAGTTTGTGCACACACACGAAGAGCAACGCTCTACGGACGGACGGAGGGCAGACACGGAGAACGCAGAGGGGAACTAAAGGAACTGAGCTTCGGTGCATCCCTGTACCAAAGTCCCATGGTGAGCCCAGTCCTTATGCACTGCATGCGTGTTTGCAAATCAACAGTTTACCGATTGTCAGCCTGTCTGGAACTCACTGTGCGGCCCAAGTAGGCCTTGAACTTTAGTCCTTCCCAAGGGCTGGATTACAGCATGAGCCACCACGCCCAGTTTAAAAAAAAAAGCAACCAAACTACGAAGAAAACTACAAGGAGAGGAGGGTGAGTCAGCTCCAAGGGCACAGGAAGTCGGAGCTAAGTGGCCTCCCGGGGAAGGCAAAACTGACTGACAGCCCACAAGACACCTGAGGAATGCTGCTGCTGTTTTTCGGCCAGTTGCTTTTCTGCCACCGCTTACATTTCATTCTCTGGTTTTGGAACCAAGTCTTGACCTGCAGCAGGAAGTGACAGGAATGAGAAAACACTCATAATGCGGAGGTACTCGGGGTCAGGACACGGAAATTTCCTTCCGGACAGGCTGAACTAAAGCTCAGGAACAAACCTTTGAATCTGAGTTCTATGAAAGTTATTTCCAAGCCCTTCAATCAGTTGACTACATTTTTGTTTTTAACAAGTGTAACCAGCTAAGCAGGGCACCATGGCACACACCTGTAGGAAGGAGGCCGAGGCAGGAGGATCACAAGTTTGAGTCCTACCTGGGCAAGACCTTGTCTCAAAATTAAAAATTTTACAGAAAGGGACTGAAGGTGTAGCTCAGTGGTAGCGCCTGTTTAGTAGCATCTGTATGGTTCTGGGTGGGTGGGGACTTGTTTGCAGTAACAGCCCCCCAACATGAGTACATTTGTATTTGGCACCAGAGATTTAAAAAAATTTTTAATTAAAAAAAATTTTTTTTTTTGGTACCGGGGATCGATCTTGGGACCGTGCGCTTTCGAGGCAGGCACTGGAACCACTGAGCTAAATCCCCAGCACCACCCCCAATTTGATCAAATATCTAACTGGAATTCAATAATGCATCATACAAATTTAAAGCTATCCACCATTGATATAGGACAAAGAGCTTTTTAATACAGATAAAGCCATTTTTTTTTTTTTTGGTACTGGGGATCAAACTCGGGTCCTTGCACTTCTGAGGCAGGCTGCAGAACCACTGAGCTAAATCCCTGGCCCTAGATAAAACCATTTTTAACATAACTGAAGCCAGCCTGTCTGTAATCCCAGCACTCGAGAGGCTGAGGCAGAAGGATCCCAGTGAGTTGGTGGCCAGCCTGACTACATAGTGAGACCTTGTCTCAAAAAACAAAAACAAAGGCAGGGGATTTAGCTCAGTGGTTCCATCGCCTGCCTCGAAAGTGCAAGGTCCGGGGTCCGATTCCTGGTACCAAAAAA